TAGGCAGACCTCAAACATCTATAAACAAACATGTTGATGGCAGCAGCACAGCTGATATTTCTCCTCAGGATGGTGTCACATTGTTAGGTGAAACAGTAGCGCTCATAAAGAAAACTGAATATGAATCTACATTTATACGCAATCTGAGAACCCTCGCATTATATGCATGTAATTCTCTGCGAATTAATACCGCTCATTTTTTAATCTGCTGATTATATCATACAACATGATTGGTTTTAAGGAGAGTGGAGATAAAGGACGCTGAGTTTATTGAGGAAAGTCATTAAAATCCTGACCAGGTTATTTAGGGAGAGAATGTTACCATGGTAACAGAAACATAGGTTGAGTAAACTGTCTTTGTCAGGCAGAAAACTCAGCGTTTCCCCAATTTCAGGTTTCCAGTAAACCTGCTTTGTGAAACGGAGCCCAGTTTTAATTTACATATCATGGCCCATGTCACTTATATAAACACAGCCTTATATCCAGAAAACCGCTAAAGTCTGACTATAATCAGCTGATGTATTCCTGATTGGTTGAGGTTAAAAACAGGTTAACATCATTTACTCCTGTTTTATAGTCCTTTTTTATATGATTTTACCCAGTTAGAGTTAAGAGTAGTAAATAACTTGCTCCCAGGTAAAGAAGCGGTAGGGAAGTTCTGAGGCGCGGCTGCCTTCATGGGGACATTACCTCCATATTTAACACTAACCCGTCAGTATTTGATTTGACAGAGAATGCATGTATGGCAGTTTGCCATAAGAATCCAGAAGCATATCGGTAGCCTTCAACATGTTCCTGTTAAAGAAAATGTTTCCTTGTTGCTAAAAATAAAATGTCTGCATGGATGTTCAGCATTCCAGATCAAAGATAACGACACGTTTAAAAGTTTCTTTCCTGTCACCATACATGTTGATCATTCCAGATTAAAGACAGCCGCCAGTTTTTAAAGCTCCTGTCCTTTCTCTTCACCGGGTATCTGTTTGAGGATTACACACAGCAAAGGTAACATCCAGCAGCCTCTCCATTTTATTCCTTCACCTCAGATTTTTTTTTTTTTACGTTATTTTACCCATCGTTAAGGTTCTTTATGAAATCAGGACTTTAAACATTGTCTATCCTCAGATGGCATCTGCTTTACATTTGGTGTTCCTCCTGGGCTCCATCATCGGCCTCCTGACTGTAGAAGCTGTGAGTGAAATTAACCTCGATTACTAGCCGAGCGCATTAATGCGAAGCAAACGGTAGAAAACTGAGTAACTTTGGACCAAAAGCAGGAAAGGAAGGAGACAAAAGATCCAACTGGTTTCTGGTTCTAACTGTGGTTCTGTTTTCACAGGCGCCTTATCCAGCTGAAACCCTCAGGGAGGCAGGTTGGTTCTTCTCTCTCTTCTTTCAAATACCTTCAGATTCAGACCTTTTATAGATATGTAATGTTAGATCATTTTTATGAAGTCAATTTCGATGAATTCAAAGCAACAGAAGTTCTTTAATCATCAAGTAATGACAGATCTGTAAAACATGGAAGTCATATTTTAATCTGTAGGTTTGTTAGCTTCGTGCTTTAGTTCATCTTCCAACTTAAGGTTCATCAAAGAAGAGAAGAGACAAATAAAGTAAAACATCAGAGATGTTGAGTTTCTAATTAAAGCTGGATTTTATAAGGATGAGTTGGAGAGATGTAAACAGGAAACTAAACTAAACCCCAACAATATCTCCTGATAGATAAACTCAAACATCTTAGCTCTGCAGACAAAGTAAAACATGTCTGTCATAATCTATGTACGGAAGAGGATTAGGGCCACTGAAAAAAAAAAAGTTAACTGATTTTTTAATTTCACATGGGAAAAAAGTCAGAATTCTGATTTTTTTTCACAGA